ATGTAAAAGACAATGCTCTAACGATTCAAAACTGAAAAAATGGACAGTGTTAGTAACAAAACTAATCACCACAAAGGTACCAGATAAATCAAAGACCTACCAAACAAGGGTATCTAACGGTTAAAATAGTATCGAATATCCAATTGTCAGCTCAAACGCTACAATGGATATGAGGAGACATCACACAGACCAAAGGACATGACAATATATTCATACTAATAGTGTTTTCTAAATTTATTTAATGACTGCATCTACATGAATTCCATATAAAATTTTAATTAATGTAGTCATTGTTTAAGTAAAATTTATGTGTAATAACCCTGGGCAACAACTTTTCCAATATCTCAAAACGATGTAGATCTAATTTTAATGCAGTTTTCTTTGTGAACTAAAGCTTTTAAACCTTGAAAATATCATCCCCAGACACAACAAAGAGGACTTTTTTTTCATTGCCGAACCGTAGTCGCGTGGGTTTCGGTAATCTCCCACGCGATTCGCATCTCAAAACAAATACCGATCGTATGGCACCAATTTTTCGAATAAAACGAAACAATAAGTTTCGAAACCGCTCTCGGGATACGTCGCCGAAATCGATGAAATAAATAAAACGTGTAACGGATAGCGCCGAAAAGGCATAAACAATGCCCGGGCTCGAGCCCGGGGGCGTCTGTTTAATAGACCTTTGTTTCCCTTACATAGCGACAAGTCCCTCCGCTCACGCACTCTTCAGCTACATACTTTGCAGGAATAACAAAGCGTAATTGCCTCGGGGATGCGCAGTCACTACCTCTGGGACTTAATATGTCGTTAATAAAAACGTTACGTTTCGCTTGAGGGGTCGCGAGAGTTATGGGGGTCACGGTTTAAGGGGGGTGGTGCGGATGGTGGGTGCTGTTTATGGATTTAGCGTGCAGCTCGTGACACAGTGGATGCTTTGCCGACGTCATCGTTTGGACAAAAAAAACAAATGTATATGCCTATATTGTAGTATAACAACTCCGGGTTCGATCGAAAAAAATAAGTAAACGTAGTTGTGGCCAAAAATATGTGATCGTCATAAGGAATATCTACGTTTTATATATTTACTTTTAAATGACCGGAACGGGCTGGCTACTGACTTTAAAGAGTATGATTTAATTTTATAAAACAAAAGCAGAGTAAATACACCTAACTTTATTATTTACGTACAACAGTCTTCAAATTAAACATAAGACAAATAGAAAGAACAACAAAAACATTAACAACCATTTAACATAAAATGAGAGTGCCAGGCTCACCTAGAGCTCCTGTGGGGAAAGAGCATGGCAGAGAAACCCCCGATCGTTGCTCTAACTACCCAAATATAAATACAAAACAACCGATAACAAAAGGCATAAATTAAGATTCTTTGCTAATGATAAATAACGCCCGACTCATTTACTGTGTCACTAAATGTCACCTCACTCGAATTAGACATACACACTTCCAAGTAAAACTGAAGAGGTTTGGTGTTAGTTAGCCGGCAGGGCCGGAAGGTACTGGAGTGAGATTTCGGAAGATCTGTTTTAGCAATTCTTTTTTTGTATTTAATTATTCTTTTTACAGATTCATTCCTCACGGGAGCAAATGTTAGTAAATTCAACAGGGCTCTTATATGCGTATGACATAAAGTGAGCACAAGAAATGCTTTATTATTTGTTTTTCGAACAACGTAATCATGACAAAACAAGTTAGATGTGAAACAAAGTAGTGGTTATTGCAATATCTTGGCAGTCACGACAATATATATATTTTAACATGTAATAAATAATGAGCAATCGTTAATAATAATTGTAACAATTTTACCTTAGAAAAATATATGCCCTTGAGCATAAAGGAGTGGAAGCTAAATGTACAGAGAAGAATTGTTATCATTAAACATCTATAATCATCACAATCATAAGATTATATAGAACAATTAATAACAAAATACTTAGAGAATATTATCTGTTAATTAATACGGGTTAAAAACCTTGATTTTTCACTATTTTGCCTCACTGCCCACCGATCGTCGTACTCCCATCTCCCCACTGTTCTCACTTCAACTATTTAGGCTTCCTTCCAGAATTCCCCACCTAAGCGTTTGTTTTTGCGCTTCCTTCTACCAACTGTCAATATTACGTTTTCATTATTATACGTAACAGGTGACGTCGAAGTTGATACGATAAGTATGGTTTTGCACAATATCAAGGATTTGGTAGAAAACGGTTCTTATACAAGGTGATCTTAAAAACTTAAACCATAAAATACATACTATTTATTCAATTTCCTTAAAATACCTACCATTTCCATCTCTGGCAAAAACTACGTCTTCTTTCTCATATTTTGTAGCTGTTACATTTTGATGCGAAAAAATTTATAAACCTTAAAACATCACGCCTCACAAAATTAGACGTACAGTTTCATGCCAAGAAACACAAACTTGTTTCTTGTTTTACAAACATCCATCTGTATTTTGTATTTTGCCATGTAAAGATTTTCAAATATCTCTTTTACTCTTTTAAACCTGATATTATTAAATCCAAAACAGCGAAAATTAATTGGATGCAACTATTTATTCAGCGTGTCTATCGCCGTGTGTGTCAACTGCGGTTAACCACTCTAGCTGACGTCACAGTTCAGAGCTACGGCCTTGTCGTGTAGGTGGTGTTAGTGAGACTCGATCTGCGACGTTTGTAACACTGGAAACACTCATACACCCTCGAAGATTAATTATAACGGCGGCACAAAGCGGTCCATCCGAGCAATTAGTCTCGGCCTGCCCGATTCCCCACCGCACATCGGGTCGTTTCTCGTTGTTTCGCGACGTGACGCCGCTAAATGTTATCGAACGGAAGCACGTGCTGGAACCGGAAGCGAGCGGCGGCGGGGGCGCGCGCAACTTCCCGTTTCCGCCGGATGCACCCCCCCTCGTCCTCGCGCGATTCCGAACTGACAAGGGTTTAGGGAGAAATGCCGAAAGTTCGGATTAGTCTCATGTTTTGTTCTAGGTCCTAAAGGTGCGAGAGGGTCGTTTCCTTTTTTTTTTTAGTCTTTAAGTTCCGTTTTAATTTTCGATGAATTTGTGCATAAAACGTGCAAAACATGCACATAAAAAATAACAAGCCTATTATTAATGACCACTGTTGATGACCTAATATCATTATTGTCTGTTTGGAAATGAAAGAGAGTAATAAAACCCCGAGATAAGAACCGGCCATGGGCGTGGTAATATTTCGTTTCAGGTAATAATCGGGTAACACTAATGCTAACAAAAATGACAGGGATTGGAAAATCGACTATCTACAGACTTTTAAAGGAAACAAAAAATGAACAAGATACTGTAAATCCCCCAAAATCATCTACAGGGAGGTCAAAAGTCGTTATAGATGATTTCTTCAAAAATGTCAATCGCAGAAAAGTACACTCATTTTATTTTAAAAAAGAAATACCAACGCTAAACAAAATTTTAAGTGAACTTTCAGAGGACAACGATTTGCCAAAAATCAGTAGAAGCAAATTATGGGCCGTCTTACGAGAGTTGAATTTTTGCTGGGAAAAGCAGAACAGGAAGTCAGTTCTTATCGATAAAGATGAAATTATTTGTTGGCGAAGATCCTACTTAAGATCAATTAGAAAATTCCGTGACGAAGGGAGGAATATTTATTATCTAGACGAAACTTGGGTCAACGAGGGATATACTGTAACAAAAGTATGGCAAGATAAAAATGTAAAAAGTTTTCGACAAGCATTTTTGGATGGACTTTCAACAGGGTTCAAGGCACCTTCAGGTAAAGGGCGAAGATTAATAGTGACACATATAGGTAGTGCCAGTGGTTTTGTAGATGGCGGTTTACTTTTATTTAAATCTAAAAATACAGGTGACTATCACGAAGACATGAACGCAGATGTTTTCGAAGAGTAATTTACACAGATGTTGGATCTTATTCCTCCGGGGTCTGTAATTGTCGTGGATAATGCCAGTTACCATTCACGGCAGACCGAGCGGATATAATTCAATGGTTACCGGTCATTCTCTCTTTCATTTCTAAACAGACTATAGTATGGTATAAAAAATATTTTTTCGTAAAAACAATGGGCTATTAAATGATGTCATTAACACAATATTTTCAGTCCCATCAATTTCGATAGCCCAATGTGATAAAATCAACCACCACGGTACATTATGAAATGAAGCATAAGTTGAAAATTAACGAAGGGAAGAAGAATTACAATGTTTTTTTTCTGTCAAAATTTACGCATCTTTCGAATTTTGACATCGACATTGCACGTAACGCTAGAAATCTACTACAAAACCGCTTAAACATCCTGACAGTTTTCCGGAAAATGTGAACCAAAGCAACGCCGGTCTAGAATCCAAAAATTCACGAATGTTTCGAATCCAACTGTAAATAACGTATGCCAATGTTTTAACATTTTTTTTGGAGTTTTACGCAGATACAGTCAAAAATAGTTGCCGATACTGGAAGGCACTCCTAGAGCACTCTGTATAATTCGAATGGCAGACCTATTCATTAAATATATACATACTTATTAAACAAATTTATCCTAAAATGTCATCATTTTGAATTTATGTTGAAACATATCACAAAACTAACGGATGAAAAGGCTATTTTGCTCTGCTATAAATATAATATTTTATAGAATATATAAATTCGATGATTTGAATCACGGACGTAAATAAATTTGAATATATGGATGGCGCCACAGATTTGTCCATATTTGTATGAAAATCTGCTTAAAAAGTAAACTGAACTAGTTTTAAACACTAAAATGATGCTTTTTGAAGTTTGTTTTTGATTTCTGCAAAACCGCGTTTCCTGAATGCAGTCGCCTTCTCGCGGGTCATTCGCTCTGAGGTGTGCAGATTCGCCAAGTGCCTACATTTACTGGCACAAATAACGTTCTCTGGTAACTGTTCTCCGCAAGACATCTGCATAGCTGTCAACGACGGAATCGTCAGTATGACCGGCAGACCTGTATGCCGTGCAACCGACTGCATATATTTAGACAGATGTATACAGATGAGAGTTTCGAAATAATTTAGAACTGGTACGCGCGAAGATTTGGCGAATATGTAAGTACTCAATTATAGACTACATTTTTAATTTCTTAATAAAATAATAAATAATTCTTTGCATCAATTTATTAAAATACAGATAACCAAGGAAGAACGTAAGTCATTGTAAAAAGTTTCGTTGACTTTAAATTGAGTTAAAAAGTTGCTTTATTTATTCAAAGTGTACGCCGCGCTCCTGTTAATTCGAATTGTCTTTCAAACTAACCGGAGACATACATTTTTTAACAAAAACACTAGGTATATCTCGGTCGATTTTCTACGGTAATAAACCACCCCTCTCGGTTGCAGGCTCTGGTTATCGATGGTACTCATGGCCGCCCATCTGGGCATCAGTTACGCCAGCAGCAAATCCTGCGTGTGCTGGGAAGGATACAAGGCCGACTACGGCGAAAACGGGGCACAGTGCGTAGCGCTCGATCAGTTCCACATCATGCCCTGCAACATGGCCAAGGCCCCCAAGTGTCAATGTTCGGGACGGGTGAGCAGCATCCTCAAGGATCGGACAGGTAATTCTTTGCGCCAGATCGAGGTACGAGCTGGAAAAAATGGCATGCGATCCGATCAGAATAAGGTATTCTTGGAATACTAAAATAAATGTAGACCATTCGTATTTTTGCTCGTTTTATAAAGCAAGCTTCGCCAAAGAAACGGTTTCATAGAGAGCCAACGTATAACAGTTCGTGCGTATCATTAGCGGTTTAATTTCCTTGATGTGTGCTGTTTTGGATTAATTTAAGATGGATGCGTGCCGTTAGGGCAATGCCAATTTTCATCGTAACTCATCAAATGAGTATAAGAAATATACAATAAACATTCTTTTTCAGGGACATGGTGTACGAGATACAGGCGAGGGCAAGAACTGATGCGCTGGCCATGTGAGAATATGCAGGAGTGGGATGAATTCTTCAAAAAACATCCAGACTTCATTTAAACGTTTTATTAAATTTTTTTTGTGTGCCAATGTACTGTAGGTAAAATGCATTTCGCTGGTATATTCATTAAAAATACTACATTTGTTGACTGTTGTTTGGCAATATCCCTTGCTCAAACTGCATTACAATTAAAAATAATACCAAGAGCTGTCGTTTCCCAAGAGTTGTGTGTAACATGTACTGTTTACTTTATAATTTGCGCGATTATTTTTCCAGTTTATTTAAGTTACATTTTACCGAACTCTGAAACGACACTGTTTATTCGGGGATAATTTTATGGAAAGTAATTATTTCGCCAAGTAAATAAATAATCATCATATAATTTATTCGATTGTAGATAAATTTTAAAACAATTAAATTTACATATTAATAACTTTACGTACATATTCATAAATTAATGAGATTCAAATTTATCGTTACTGCATAAACAATAACAAAGGCATGTTTCATAAAAATAACATCATTATTCTATTAGTCACCCGCAGTAAAACAATTTTGCTATTTATAGGCCGCCATCTCGGGTCGTCAAAAGTCAGTTTATTGCAACAATTCCCAGTAATTCTCGTTATACTCTTTCCAAGTTTATGAAAAACGGAATTCTTCAAGGAGTGAAAAATGAACAGTTTTAAAAAATCGTATAATCAGTGTCAACACCAACCTATGAGGGTCATCCAGGTTCATCCCGACTTTTAACTGCTGTAAAGCCGCTTAGGAGAAAAAACGTCGTCGTAAATCAAAGAATAAAAGTGTCACTGCCGTCAGTCTCACCGTAAACCCCCTAAACGTGAATGTGTTACGCACATATAAAGTGGTTCGTTATACAGAGCCTCTATAAAAAAGCCACGTGACCAGTAATTGTGTTTGCAACACTAATTTCATTTCTTTCGCGTTGATATTTATTAAATTTTGATAAAATTAAAAATTACTAAAACAATAAGATCAAGATTATTTTACAACACAACATTGCGTTTTATCGGTTGGTGATTGATATAATTTTTCACGTCACTTCAATCAGCCAATCGGGAATCAGATTGTCTCGAACGTAGAAGTGTTGTCATTGTTAAGGAAGCTCTGTTGAGTTTATGATGAATTTTCCAGGCGCAAATATTGACTGACACTTTCCTAAATAGAAAATGTGACATTTGAAAGCAAAATTTACGGGCACACGAACTGTACTTAGATAAAATATTATCCATAATATACAGGGGATTCTTCTGTAACTCTGCAACTGTAAAATTTACAAAAAAATGGTTTTAATAAAAGTAAAGAGAATATTTTTAGCTTTACAGGATGTCCCATTTTGCGTGGGCGCTACAGTACTTTGTTATTTTAAATGGAACACTCTGTATATTATTGCGTTTTTGAATTCATTGGTTAATATTAGGTAGAGTTTATTAAATGTACATGGTGTTTAAAACGTACCGTTTTCGACATAATCAGTTGTTTTTGAAAAAAATCTCAAAATGAGGCTAGATGAGGCTCTAAACCGTAAGAGTTAGAAGCATGCAGTTTACACAGTTCATTTTTGGAATAAATTAGTCTATCTTGTCATCTGTGAGCAAAACGTGTACGTTATTCTGACTCGGAAATACTGAGACCTACATTTAATAATCTTACAAATTGAAAAACTTTTTTTTTCCAAATGGAATGGTCCATATTAATTATCATGGGTCAATGCAAAATTGAATGCCCTTTCGACTGATATAAGGTTGTCCCTAATTATATTTAACAGTTTTCCAGAAAAATCAGGTTCTTTTCTAATGTCCGAAAAAGTATCAACATTAATGATATTATTTCGCTTTTGATTAGCAAACACCTCTTTTGCTATTTGAATGATGACACGAATATCTATGAAGAATATGAACATTTAAAAAATGGTGTAATATGTTTGGAAGACAAAAAAATTCGTAAATATACAGATGATTAATTTACATTTCATTGAAATTTGTAAACTTATATTAACAATGAAAATAAAAATGCTATAACTCAATGTGTATGGTACTTGTTATTTATTCCCTAAGTTCAAACTCCTATAAAAAAAACACGTCAAAAACAACCACTTATCATATTTTCAAAGCAACAAACATTTTTAGTATTGAACCGAAAAAATTATTTTATAATAAATTCACTAATAGGTATGTACATTCAACGAAGATTATAACCACACATTAAATTATTATGAGTTCAAAGTCAAAATCATACATATTTACCAATTTAAATGATAAGGTCGATAGGTCAGACCAAAATAACTTCTTGTCTGTACTTCATATACTATATTAGGCTAATTTCCTTACTATTTTAAAGTATAAATGGCCATGATGCCGCCACCTGGCTGCCCAATCACAACTGCACAGGTAAACCTTCCACAACAACTATACACACAAGTCTTCCGCCAAAAATAACTCGCACATCTAAACTCGCACAAATATGAGGGTATAAGATAAAAAGACGTCGTTATCATTCAAATTCCTGACAGTACATACTCAGAGGACACGAGAAGATGGTTTTAAAAGATTACCTTACCTCCACGTTTTCGAATAGAGAAAATACTAGTAGTTGATTAGTTTGATTTACAAAATTAGTTCAATTGAAGTAAATGAATTTTCAAAAATAACACGAGGAATAGAATTAAAATGTCTACAGTTACCGAAATAAAGTAATTAGTTTTTTCTTTATGGGCCGGGGAGTAGTTTTATATTCACATAACTCTGATGTATGTAGACAAACAGGACGTTAATGATATATTCTGCGAAGACGTAATTATCGTTGTTTTTAAATAAAGTTTTACATTAAATTTTACTTTACTATTTTACTTCAACTGATCCTGAATTATCCTGATTCTGACTAAAGGATTTAGTCCAGACTGTTTCAAAGAGTCCATATTTGGGTGAATCGTATATCCACGGAGATTTTTGGCTTTTTGGCTTTCAAATATCACTAGATATGAACATTTTTTCTATGCGCATAAAAAAAACGTGGGCTTAACTTTTGGCGGCACAATATGTTAAAAAAATTTCGAAAAATGTCATATTTTTCTTCCTATTTAATTATGTATCTTTTCAAGAGTTGATTTTAGGCGCAAATGGAAGAGGAAAAAAATTTTGCAATCCAGATTTTGAAAAAAAATTGCAAATTTTCAAAATTTTGCACAGCAAAAACTAAGGCCCTTAGATACTTGAAAATTTAATCACATATAGAAGGGCTCTCAAACTTTCAAACGGTTTTTGAAATATTCGAATCTCTCAATTAGGAGAGCTCTGGCGCTTGGTTAAACATTGGTCGAATTTTTGTACTATAATTTTGTATTTTTGTAATATAATGAGTTAATTCTCACTAGCTTATATTTTAAGCAGTAAATAATATTTGAATTATACTTCACAAAAGAATTGATGATTAAATTAATTAATTAACTAATTACTAATTTTCGATATATTTTGAATATAATTGTTGTTTTAATAAACAGTATATAAGTTTATGCACTTTCCTTTGATACAATAAAAAAATCAAGTTGATAATTAAAGGAAGTTTAAATATAAATAATTATTGGACTGTTGAAAGACCAACCAAATATGCTAATTGTTTTTTTTTAAATCGCGAGATATCGATTTAAAGAAAACCCATCAAAATCGGACCTCTAGAAGCTGATATATTAAAAATTTTTAAGCGCGTCGCGGTTTTGAACTGGCCGATTCAATTTCGAGCAGGCTGAAGCGGCCGCGTTCTCTGCTTCCCCCACCACCACCACCACCCGTACGATTTTCTTGAATTTCTCGCTCACATAAATAACTTTAAACGCGTTTTAAAGTAGGTTGCCAATGAAGAAAAGTATTGTAATCTTAGACCTGGTAAGTACTCGGAATAGCAAAGGTATTTTTCGAAAAATTATCCCGGTTGTCCCAGTACATTTAGTGTAAATGACGGTTAACTTTGATCGGCTATAACTACGTAACTAATTGACCAATCGATCTGTTTTTTTTTAAAGAAGCGTCTTTCCAATAACTTAAAACCTGTTTTAAAAAATATTCACAAAGTTATTCTAATTGTTTATAAAGTACAAAAATTCGACCAATGTTTAAAAAAGCGCCAGAGCTCTCCTAATTGACGGATTCGAATTTTTCAAAAACCGTTTGAAAGTTTGAGAGCCCTTTTATATGTGATTAAATTTTCAAGTATCTAAAGGTCTTGGTTTTTGCTGTGCAAAGTTTTGAAAATTTGCAATTTTGTTTCAAAATCTGGATTGCAAAATTATTATGCAAAATCTATCAAAACGATTTTGATGAAATTTGATGTGATGATTCTACATAACATGAAGTTTTCTTGAGCCAAGTATGAAGGTCCTATACCCAACTTAAAGACCCCAAAAAAATTCCCTAGAAAGTAATGTTTTTAACCCCATTTTTGGCGATTTTTTTTCGATTTTTACAATAATAATCATGTTTGGTAAAAAATTTAATTAGAAAATTTTTTTCCTCTTCCATTTTCGCCTAAAATCAACTCTTGAAAAGATACATAATTAAATAGGAAGAATAATATGACATTTTTCGATTTTTTTTTATAACATATTGTGCCGCCAAAAGTTAAGCCCACGTTTTTTTTATGCGCATAGAAAAATTGTCATTTCTAGTGATATTTGAAAGCCAAAAAGCCAAAATCTCCGTGGATATACGATTCACTCGAACCAAAACAGATACCGCCTAGTCTATAGAATTAATTGTTGTTCTCTACCTCCTGCTGTCGCCGCTTTATAAGTCTTCTCGTATTCCTTTGCGCAAGTTTTTTTAACTTTGCTTCTTTCATATTACGATACACTTCCATTAGATCCATCTCCCATCAGAATCCCGCCACACAATCAAATCCGCTTCTGCTAGACCCGCATGTGAGACGCTCTATATGCCCCGCGACACATTTCTGAGATTGACATTTCATACATCAATTTATCCGCTCCCCAACGGGAGCTTTAGGACCGCATTTTACGACGTGCACATCGTTCGCGCCCCCCGCGCGCCCTGCCCACGCCGAGGACAACACA